TGACTCATGTAAGACTTTCCAAAGTATATGACATTTTACACTATAAACCAAGTTTAAGCAAATACAAAATAATCAAATAATTCATTGTATTTATTAACTGTGATGGATTAAAACTAGAAATCAACATTAAAAATTATGCAACCATGTGGATGCTGAACAGAACATTTTTAATGTTTAGTAGATCATTGAAATCACAGAGGAAATTTTTAAATTCCTGGGATGAAATGAAAGCAAAACTTACCAGAGTCTTTGGAACCCAACAAAGGCAATTCTGCAAAGGAATTTTATAAGAATTAATGCATACATTTTAAAAACTCATGTATTTCTCAAATGGATCCAGATGATGAATCTCAAGTTCTTAGAGAAGCAAAAAAAATCAAAAAGACAAATCAAAATTAGTAGATAAGGTGACATAATAAAGATCAAGCGGAAATCTGGAAAAAGGAACTAAAAGAATGACAATCAAAAGTCATTAATATCCCTCAATATTAACAGTCTTAACTTGCCCATGAAAAGGCACAGGCTAACAGAATGGATTCGAAGACAGAATCCATCCTCTGCTGCATACAAGAAATACACTTCAGCTTCAAAGACAGATGTTACCTCAGAGTTAAGGGTTGGGAAAAGATTTTCCAATCAAATGGACCAAATAAACAAGCAGTGTAGCAATCCTAATATCTAACAAACTAGACTTTAAACTGAAATTAATCAAAAGAGATGAAGGTCATTTCATATTCATCACAGGAGAAATTCATCAAGATGATGTCTCAATTCTAAACATCTATGCCCCAAATACAAAGGTATCCATATTCATAAAAGAGACATTACTAAAATTCAAACTACACATAAAACTTTGCACACTTATAGTGGGAGACTTCAACACCCCACTCTCACTACTAGACAGGACTACCAGACAGAAACTTAACAAGGAAACAAAGGAACTAATAGAAGTCATGACCCAATTAGGTTTGACTGACATCTACAAAACATTCCATCCAAACACAAAAGAATATACTTTCTTCCAGTGCCACATGGAACCTTCTCAAAAATTGACCACGTACTTGGCAACATATCAAACCTCAACAGGTACAAAAAAAACCGGAATAACTCCATGTATCTTATCAGACCACCATGCTTTAAAGTTAGAATTCAACAACAACACAAATTGCAGAAACCTTGCAAACTCATGGAAATTGAAAAAGCACAATTGCACCACTGGGTCACAGAAGAAAATTAAAAAAAAGAAATTAAAGCACTATTTGTAATAGCCAGAACCTGGAAGCAACCTAGATGCCCCTCAACTGAAGAGTGGATAGAGAAAATGTGGTACATTTACACAATGGAATACTATTCAGCAGAAAAAATGGAATCCTGAAATGCCCCTCCCTAACAATTATTTTGACTACTATCTTATATACCATCCTAGAACCTCCATCCAGTGACAGACAGAAGCAGAGGCAGACACCCACAGCTAAACACTGAACTAAACTCCTGGAACTCTCCAGTGTCAGAGAGGGAGGAGTGATGAGCAAAGGGGTCAAGACTAGACTGGTAAATCCCAGAGAAACAGCTGACCTGAACAAGGTGGAGATCTTGGACCCAGCCTGATGGCTGAGAGGCCAGCATAGGACTGATCTAGACCCCTTCAATGTGGGTGTCAGTGAGGAGCCTCAGGCAATCTTTGGGTTTTCGGGGTAGTAGATCAGTATTTATCACTGGCACACAAATGGACTTTGGGGACACATCCCACAATGAGGGATGCTTTCTCTATTTGGACACTTTGGGGAGGGCTCAGGCCCTCCCCAGAACAAAATGACAGACTCTAGAGATCACCCATGGAGGGTGTTATCCTCCCTAGGGAATGGAGTGGGGATTGGGTGGGGGTCTGGGGGAGCCAGGAGGAGGAAGTGGGCGTAGAGAGGAAGGAGAGGGAGCTGGGACTGACATGGGAAGCAAGCTTGTTTCTAATTTAAATATATAATAAAAAGCATAAAAGAAAAGGATAAGCAATATTGGCAAATTAATCACAAGAAATTTCTATATACTTATGAGCTACAAAGCCTGAAGGAAAAAACTGAAAAGATATGAACAGCCTAAACATAGCTATACTCAGCAAAAAAATTGATGATAGTCTCTAATCAAAGAAAGAAAATATGTTTCTTTCTACATTTTCTCTGCCAAAAAACATTAAACTCCATCTTCATTTTCTCATCTATAAATCAAGTGACAATAAAACTGACAGTCCATTCTGAAACTTTCTAAGTCAGTAGTTCTTAACCTTTAGGAGTTGACCAACTCTTCCAAATGAGCTGTCTAAATCATTGGAAACACAAATATTTACATTATAGTTCATAAAAGTAGCAAAATTAATTAGAAAGAAGCAACAAAAAATAATTTTATGGTTGGGGGTCACCACAACGAGAGAGAATGCATTAAAGGTCACAGTATTGGAAAGGTTGAGAACCACTGTTCAGTGACTAGCCATGCTGATAGCAAGCAGGAATCTTTTCCAAATTTCCAAGACATTGTAGCTGATGTCTTAGTCAGAAAACATCTATAGATGAACTGAAGTGTGGTTATCTTGGTGGAACTTGATATAAACTAGCATATCTATGGCCAGTAAGTCAGGAAACACAGGTATTAGACTAGTGTAGTAATCTTGGCTGAATCCTGTATCTTCCTCCTGAGTTTTGGATTCCTCAGACACAATAGGATACATCACCTAGGAAATTTCCCTAGATCTGACACATGACAAAAGTCTCTCTCTAATTGTTGCTAACATGATTGAGCATTATTTCCCAGGTATTAAGGACTGTCCTTGCTTTGTGTTTCTTGATTTCTTTTTTGGGTCATGTTTTGTTTGAGACAGTGACTTAATATATAGCCTACGCTGGTGTCATGATCTTCCTCCCTCTGCTTCTCCATCTTGTCTCCAGTGGACTAGAGTTAGAGTATAGACCATCATGATCAGTGTACTTGTTACTGTTCTGAAGAAACCATCTAGTAGAAGCAAAATAAGGAAGGAAGATTTTGCTTTAACTCAGGTTTGGGGGTATAATCTATCAAGGTAGGGAAGTCGTGGCAGCAGGAACATGAGATATCTCATTGCATCCACAGTCTGGAAGATGAGAGTTGACTGCTAGTGTCCTGTGCACTTTCTCGTTTTTAATTAGTCCAGGAGTCTAGTCCATGGGATGGTGCTACCCATCAGAAGCTGCTGTGTATTCCGAGGAAACATCTTCTTCCTTCAATTTACCCTTCATGAAAATCCCCTCACAGGCTCATCTAGACATGGGTCCCTTACTTGATTTCAGATACTCTCAAGTTGACAATCAAGATTAACCTTCATTGTTTTTCTAATATGCTAATATTCAAACACATATGGAGACAATTGATACATAAATGGCATTATACTTGCATTTTATAAGTTGAACAGTTGCCCCAAAGTGTACACAGAGATAGAATTTGGAGTATTAGGTGGTCTCCTTGGACCCCAGAATCCTCAAGAGGCTCTTTTTTACTGATATTCAAAACAGGGTGGATAACATATGTCACACATGGAAAAACAGAAATGGGAACAGCATTCAGCCAAGGTATTCCCAGAAACTAAGGCTCCTCTGTTTTTGGCATTCACATCTTCTGATGTGTGTTTTCTACATTGCTCTACTCAGAAAGTATGCTTTACTATTATTTTTAACCTCCATCTTACCACAGAGGAATATCAGGATTTATTTGACATCTGTGGGCTCAATTTGCATTAAAATATGTTTAAGCAAGAATTCAAATTAAAAGGGTTGAAAATTGCAATGAGGAGGATTCATAGAGCCTGAGAAGACTGAGTATTTTTAGACCTAGAGAAGTTTATTGGCTTCACTTTATCCCCATTATAGTCAGGAGATCAAGACTTCATTGAATCTGAGAAATGTTCATTTTTTCTGTAAGAATTCCTGTATGCCTGCTATGTCCCAAGCAAGGTGTTCAGACTTCTATGCAAACATATTGCATCATCCTCCTGCTTTACCAAAGCAAGTGCAATGACCCTGCCTTACATATGAGGTCTCTACAACTTAGAGGAAGGCAGAAGAAGAAACAGACATCAGGGTTTTTGATTCTCTTTCCAGTTGTAACCATACTACATGAGGATGTAAATTGTCCATCACTTATTTTAAAAGGCCTTCTCCTTCCATTCATGAAGTAGTAAATCTATTCAATAAATTGAGAATTGGGCATTAAACAAGAAGTGATGAAACCCAGTCAGCCAGTAAGCAAAGTACTTTTGACATGTCTATTTATTGCAGTGGGAAAGCAAGGAAGTTTCTAGCCATATAACCCTGAGAATAAAGCAATGAGTGACTAAAAATGAGAAAGAAGGATCTTCCAAGGATATTGAAACTAGATACTTTCTCAAGCCCCACCTATGGTCAAGCATAAATCACCAAGAAGTAAAGATGCCAGCTTCCAGGAAGTAGCAAAACTAAACTTGTATTGGAAAAATACGCTGACACTAGCAAGCATGTCTACAACGATGGAAGAGTAAGATAAATCAAAGAACAGCATAATGAGGGGATAAACAAAAACAAAGCAAAGGAACTGAAGAGATGGCTCATTGGTCAAGGGCTTCTCTTGAAAACATGGGGACCTGAGTTCAAAACCCAAAACCCACATTTTAAAAGATAAAGCTGTGTGTGTTTGCAAGCTTGTGATCCCAGAGATGAGTAGGCAGACAAAACTGTCCCTGGAGCTCACTGAACAACCTGCCTAGCCTAAATAGGAAGTTCTAGGCCAGTGAAAGATCCTATCCCAGAAAAAAATGTAGAAGGCACTTAAGGAATGACAGTTGAGATTGTCTTTTGCATACATGTCTACATACATGTACAAGTGTCATGCATATCTGCATACATGCAGACCTGAACACATATAAACATGTGCACATACACTTTGAGTACAGTGAAAATTGTGGTTTTAATCAATGAACAGTCTTTCTATAGCAGACCATAGAGAAATATATGAAAAACTGTATTCTATCTGGAGTTCATTCTCTTTTGGCTTCCTTTTCAGGCATATATGTAACAAAGGTAGTTTTAAGTAGTTCCAAACTGCAGATAAAGAACCTATGCAAGATTTATTTATTTGCCCATCCATGTCTTCTCTTTGCCCTTCTATCCCTGACCCACACCAGAGAATCTCTCAGGGATCACCACAGTTTGGTCTTTGCCTTCTGGCTTCCACTTAGGTTTAGTCAATATGATCTATTGGCAGAGGGAATGGATAGCAGAAGGAAAGCAGGCTTCGTGTTGTTCCAACTCCTTGTCTGCCAGACCTTGGGGTGGATACAATATTTCATTAGGAATTGTAGCTCTCTCAAGGCAATTCTTCCCCAGCATCTAACATTTAATGCACATCCCAGCTGAGGGAATTTGCTATAGGCTAAAGATGCTTTTCATCATCGATGTGGGACTTGGATGGTTCTTTGTGCTTGGCTTTGGAGGTAGTCCTCAGGTGAGTTAAAACTATGGAAACTGTTAGGATATAATAGTGCATTGGGTTTGGTCTATATGTAAATTAAGTGGGGAAGAGAGAGATCGGGTTTTATTTGTAGGTTTATTAACAAAAAAAATGTGTTGGTAGCTTGATTTTCCAGTGTATTATTACTGGTAGTTTGGAGTCACAGACCTGGAGCTGTTATGATTGATTGTATTAAACTTAGTATTATGATTGCTGTCAAACAAATTTGCTCCTTGTACTTTCTCTCTCCCACAATGCTGTACTGCCCTTTTGCAAAAGCTCTTGTCCTTATGCCTCCTAGCTTCCGAATTCTTGAGATAAGTAAAGTTTTTCTTCCTTAATTACTCAGCCTGTCCTATTCTGATATGGTGACAATAAATTGACAAAGACAAGGGCTTAAAGTCATAGTGGCTTTCAGCTGTTACTAACCTTGGGATGCTGCAATGACCCTTGGAAGTCTCCCTGGCTCTGGCCACATCTTGGCAAGTAGATTTTCCATTGAATTTTCCTTGATTCCCTCTTTTGAGTGTATCAGCTTGTTACATTGGAATGGTCCCCTCTTGGGAGGAATCCTGACTGATGATGGATGTAGGGCACAAAAGAGTTAATGGGCTTTGTCAAGATCACATAAAGACAGTGAAACAATGTTAGTTTTTTATTTTTTTAAAGATTTATTTATTTATTATGAATACAACATCCTGCCTCCATATATGTCTGCATGCCAGAAGAGGGCACCAGATCTCATGACAGATGGTTGTGAGCCACTATGTGGTTGCTGGGAATTGAACTCAGGACCTCTGACAGAGCAGTCAGGGCTCTTAAGCTCTGAGCCATCTCTCCAGCCCCAATGTTAGTTTTTTAAACCTTTCCTAAAATTCATTCTTGGTATCTTTCGCATCATGCATCTAAATCTCATTCATTTCCTGTCCCTGTGTAACTGCCTTCTGACATTGCAGCCCAACACACCACCTCCTATAAAACTTAAGAGAAAAAAGGAAAAGAAAAAAAGGGAGGAATCTTGTCATGGAAGCTGTAGTGTGACACAGTGAGTCACACATTAAGCCATTTTATCAATATATCTTTACTAACAAGTGTTCATTGAAAAGAGTCATGGGTCTGGTTCTAGGTCTTTGGTTTCTGCTACACTACGATGCTTGTCTGTCACTGGAGCTCCTCTCAGTTATCCTGCCCTTGTTCTGTGTTTTGAAAATCCTGCAGCTTTGAATCTGCAGGACTGGACCCTTCTCATGCTCCAGCAAATCACAGATGGGGTGGATGTTGGGGTGGAGCAACTTATGATCCTGGTTCTGGGCCTGGTTGTTGCAGGGTTAGTCAGCCTGTCAGCCCTCCCTTGTCCTCACCACCAGGCTGAGCTTTACTACACTGCCTTGGTGAGTTCACCCCTTCCAGCTATGAGCAAGTGACAGGGCCAGTTCTGCCGCCACGTCCTCAGGATCAGGTGTCCCACTTCTAAGCCTCCAGGGCCAGCTCTGCTATGTTGCCCCGGTGTGGCTTAGGGACCACTCTACCGAGTGCCGCAGCTGATGAGAAGCAGGGCCAGCCCTCCCCCTGCCTCGGGCATTGATGGGGGACATCTCTCTCCCACCCATGTCAGGTGAGTAATGGGTACATTACTTGCATGCTCACACTATCAGGACTGGCTTACCCCCACTCCTTCACCAATGGGGTTGGCTCTATTGTGCTGCCTCAATTGTTGATGGGCAGGAGTCTGCAGGGAGGACATCTCCTCCCACATGACAGAAGAGTAATGGAGACAGCTCTCCCATGCTCACAACTTTCGGGCCTGCTCACCCACACCTTTGCCAACAGGATTGACTCTAGTGTATTGCCCAGGCAAGTTGCAGTATCTGCTCTCCAGAGTGTTGCAGCTGGAGATGGGCAGGGGCAGCTCTCCTGCCCTTCTGACCTCTGGGGTAGCTGCCCTCAGGCATTGATTGGGGGTATAAGGCATCTCTCCCCCTGTCCATGCCACCACAGGACTGATGAGTAATGAGAACAGCACTCTCATGCTGACAACTTGGGTGCTAGCTCACCCACACCTCTGACTACTGGATTGATTGGCTCTATTTTACTACCCGGGCAAGGTGCAGGACCTGCTTTCTGGAGTGCTGGCCCTGGTCACAGGCATGGGCAGCTCTTCTGCCCTTATGACCGCAGGACCAGTTCTCCTACCTACCTCAGGTGTTTGTGGGTACAAGGGGTGGGACAATGTTCATTTTTGTGATAAACATCTTAATCTCTTGGACTTTAAGTGGAGGTGAATTGCCTTCACTTTCTTATTGCTTAGTTCCGAAGTAGAGATTCCTGAATAGACAATGGTTCCCCTTTAACTGATGTTTAAACCATCAGAGTCCTCCCATTTCCAGGCCCTGCCATATTCAACACGAGTGGGTGCCTGGCTTAGAGAAGGGAACAAGCACAGAGAAGTGAGCACGGAAATCTGTATACCAGCCCTACTATTCCTGTTCGGCATGGCCCACAGAGCTTGTTCCAGTAAAACGAAGGGAAGTTTGAGCAGAAAGTGGTTAGCCTTAACTCAGGAGTAGGTACGAAGGCTCAAAGAAATCCAGTGCTATCTGACTCAAAGACACAAAAAGGGCCTTTAGTTTGCTGTTGCATTCTATGTATTCAATATGGGAAGTAAATAAACAGATTCTGTGCTGTGAATCTGAAAGTGAAGTGGAGGAAAATCAAGAAAGTTGTTTCTGAATATATGTACATATTCATATAGTAATATGTATATACATGATACATATACATATGCATATATACATATGTGTGTCTATTATACATATACATATATATCCAGTGATATTTACACTTATATATGCACATATAAGTAGTTGTATATGTAATTTAAGTATAAATATTTTGCTGGACAATATTATCTGGAACAACATGTGTTTGGTGGGATAAAGACATATTTTCAAAGTTTAAGGGTAGTTTTGATTATTCTCTGTGTTCTACCACACATTGAATTGAGGACTTGCTTCCATACAGCCAGCATCTCCTCTCTAACCAGACCAGAGCTCTTACTTTCCAGTTGCACCTCTGTGGATTCTCTCCATCGCGTGTGAGTTTTATAGCGTTAGCTCACACCTTCTGAGAACACAGCTGCAGTGGGACTTTTTGCATGGATGTGTAAACCTGCAGATTCGCTACTCTGTAAGTACTGACCTGTTGACTTTGCCTTCTTCAACCTTGTAAGCATTTCCAGGGATCCAGGAACATGGACAAAGAATAATTCGCACGTGAAGGTAGCTTTCCCCTAAATGAGTACTCTAGAGAATCCCTGTGAAAGTAGACAGGCTCGAGTGTTATTTCCACACTTATTAAAAACATATTCGAGTTTTACATCAATCAGTAAAATATAATGAGCCTAAAGCCTGATTATCTCAGTAGTTCTCCTTCTTGTTGTTATACTACCAAAATGAAGGTGAAGGAGAGAGAATCCCAAATGGTTCATTAGTCTCATATTGCTTTGTTAATACCAGTTACTCACTGAGCGAGAGCCTCCGTGCCCAAGGAAGTAAGAAAGTCCCTATCCCTGTCCTGGAGCGTTTAATGTGGAATAGGTAAAAGGGGCATACACAGTTTTTTTTAAACATTTACTCACTGATGGAAATAAGCAGTATAAGGGAAATCAAAGTTGGGTGCTGTTAGAAAGTATGATAAGATAGTGGTAAAGCATGCTACCTTAGGTAAGTGATCAGAAACCATCCCCTGAGTAGAACTCTACTTGTTGTGGCATTAGCCACACTAGGGCATCAGAGAAGAGTGTCCAATTGGGTGCAAAGACCTGGCCATTAGAACACCTTCAGGAATAATCTGAGCCTATGGTGATATGATGGCAAAATTAGAAATTAGGTACACGGGTGGTTTAACATGGTACTGTTGCTTACAGGGTCTACAGACCATGACTATAAGAGTTTGATTTACCTTGAGGCTAACTGAATATTGTGTGGGTAGGGGGTGAGCAGAGGAAAGTCATGCTTTGATGGGTCATGGGAAGACTAGTTTAGATACAGGGAATGGCTGCACAGACTCTATACTTGTAGTTGGAAAATGTTCAGATTAAGAGTAGAGTTGAAAGTGGGACTATGAGGACCTTTGGATAGATATGGCATGAGCTATAAATGAGTTGCAAATAGTCCATAAGTACAACTGACCAAAGACTATGTTACTATTATTTTTATAATTTCTAATAGAGTGTAACTGGAGGAGATACTCTGAACTATTATTTGAAAATTTCAACTGCATAGCTAAAGTTTTCAAAGGTCTCCTCCGATCTTGGGTGAGTTGAAATAGACTATGAGTCCCATCTTTAAAAAGAACCTAGGTGTAAGGAGAAATCAACAATGACCATGTTGAGAAAAAAACCTACAATATTCTGAAAGTAAAAGGAAGAACAGGGAAGTTTCTATGTGTACTCAGGAGACCTTCTTGCAGTAAATGACATCTTAATGTGACTTACTTCCTCTCATCTACTCCATTGACCTGTTTACAACAGGCCAGGGAGTTTCTCTCTACTTGAGTCTTTAAATCTTTGCTCCCTTTGTTTGGAAGACTCTTCCCCAAGCATCCATACAGTTTGTGCCTTCTTTTTCTCAGGTACTTCGAACCCTACCTTCTCAGAGCCTCAATATGAGGCAAATTAATTAACCAAGCCTCAGTTTCTCCACTCGTCAACCATGTTACCAGTCTCAAGTTATCCTGTTGGAGAGAAGATAAACTTATCTTTGGACTTTTATTTTATGTTGTATAACACAAGAACTCTTTTTTTCTCAATTTTACTTCTAATTCTATAATACTTAGAATATATTTGTCTGCCTAGGTTAGGTACCCATCTGCCTAAAAGGCTACAGCTCTTGATCTCATACCATAGTGCAGAGAAAGAAGGCAATGTTTTAATGCCTTCCCTTAGGTTTCTGGGAGGAGATTCTCCAGCCTTCAGTCTGGAGAATGTCTAGAGCTAACCATTAATCTATACCAAGTCCCAGAAGAAACTTGCATACCAAACCTGTATGGAATAACAGGGAAAATTCCAATACTTCTGAGAATGAAAATACCAAAAGAGGGTAAGATTAGACTAACTGCTTCAATGTGAGAGAAAAATCTTGTATTTTGAAAGCTGCCTGGAATGAAGGGCTCTGTAGTTGATTCAATAGCTTTGGGATGTCAAGACATTTGATGGATGTCTCCCAACTTCACACTTTTGTCTTTCCCTTGTGGTTTCAAGTTGACTTTCTGGGTTTGAAGTATTCCAACTCCATATAACCCAAGGTATGCATGTCTCTTTTAAGGGAGAAGAAGGTTTGTTTGATGGTCGTTTTCCTGCACAAGCGACTAAGCCAGTCTGTATTCGGTCTGTATCGTCAGATGTAAGCAGACGAAAACTGAGTTGGAGGGGTGGTGGTGGAAGATATCTACTATATCCAAACTGAGTTATAGAGTTATAGTTATGTTATCTCGCCTGGGTATCCTAAACAAGTCTGCCAGCATTTAAGAACTTACAATCTTGGGCTCAGGAATAACTCTTGGGGAAGAGAATGCAAAAGGTCAGTCAAATTTCAGGGAATACTGACACTATCTCACACATTATTCTTCTTCAAATTCATCTTTCTTGCCTGAGTCTTACATCCCCATGATTACAGAATGTCAGAGCCCACGGAGACATGGGATCCCACCCTTAGCTGAAGCTTGAAATATTACCAGTCATCACAAGTGGGTATCTCCCCCAAAACAGATCTCCATCCATAGAATCTTGACGTGTCCAGAGCTTCTGTTGATAGAATCTTTATACTGAGAACCCAAGGATTCCAACTCTAACAAAATAAGTTTATTCCTAGTCCTTCAGTAATTGCTATGTACCCTTCCAGGATAGCTGTGAGAATTCACAACTGACCACAGTGCCGGTACGGAGCATAAGTGACTGTTTAGCATTTATTCCAAAATTAAACATTTATATCACCCCCTACAAGACCCAAGGAGTATGTCAGAGAAACAGCATAAGTCCTGAAGGGTGTAAAGGAGCTCTATAAGTAACTGTCTTCTGTGTATGGTGTTATTACTGTTGCAATCACAAACACACGTAGCATATAACCAGCTTCAAAAAAAGCAAAAAACAAAACAAGTGACACCAAAAAGGAGATGGACAGGATAAGAAGAAAGGAGTCAACAAGGATGGTATAGGGATAAGAGAAGATAATGAGGATGAGGACGATCACAATACATTCTATAGAAGTATGTATGTAGTCATCAAAACCTTTTTAAAAAGTAGGTTTACAACCAATTCTACTTCTACCCATTGCTGATGCATTATTCTTCTCACTTAGTTCTTCATTTATGAGTATTCCAGGAGTCTTTTTCCTCCTTCTCCTTTTTTTTTTTTTTTGGGTAGGAGTCATCATCTCCCTATGAGTAATAGCTCATGCAAGGGGCGAGTCAGAAATGCCCTGACAGGAAAGTCTGGCTGACTGTCAGAGGAACTTCTCACTTTTTTCCTCTTGCTCTCTCTACTTCCACCTGTCCTTATCCCCTGGGGAAAATCTAAAGGTGGGTGTTGAGTTTAGTCACCTAGGGTAAGCTGTTTTGACTTGTCAACAGTAAGCACTGTTTCATCCTTGTTCTCCATAACTGATATGCTAGCATGTTGTTTCAACATCACCCTCTGAAACCACCATCCAGTTTCCAAAGGCAGTAGTACAGGTCTGTGTGGGTACTCCTATCAGTCCAGCCAAGGTTTTCTGGGACACTGGAAGTGAATGAGACTTCAGCTCTGGGATACAGGCCAAGTTGTTCAAAAAGCCTCTTACTCCCCTCTGTAAGTGAGGGTGAGAATGTCAACTGTATGGAATTATGATTAAAAAACATCATTCAGGTGAAAGGTTTAAAATTTTAAATGCAACATTTGCAAGGATCTCTCTCTGTGCGTGTGTGTGTGTGTGTGTGTGTGTGTGTGTGTGTGTGTGTGTGTGTGTGGCCATCCTTTAATACATATATTACCAAGGTTCTTCTTTCTCCAAAATGCTAAGTCTTTGCCTTGTCAAGAGCCAACCATGGGACAGGGGCCTGCCTGCTAAGTTGGTGGGTAATGATGGGTTATTGTAGAGTAACGGTCATTGTCTTTAGTTGTATGCAAAATAGTGAGCCAATTAGACAATTAGTTAGTTCCAACCTTATAATCACCCAGATATTCCTGGCTAGAAATCTGTAAATCACAAAATAAAACAATGAGAAATGAATATGGATAAAGAACTGTAAGGAAGAAAACAGACGACTAGGGTGAGAGAGAGATAAGAGAGGGTAGGGATGAGAGTAAAAGAATGTTACATATGTGTATGAATGCATGTATGTAATTGTCAAAAACATATTTAATCAACAAAAGCACCCAGTCTTAATCTCAGTAGTGAACATATCAAAACTGAACAAAATTTGTAATGTTCTCTCTGTATTCCAGAATGGGAGGCAGATAATAGGCATATTATATATGACAGGTGTCAACAGGTACTGTGAAAACAAATAAAGCACGGTCAGGGAAGTTGTCCTGAAGGAGCCAAGTACTATTCAGACAGGGTGATCAGAGGGACTGTCTGAGAGGTAGTATTTGAAAGGAAATGAGACAAGGAGCCATATGGATGCCTGGAGTAGGGGGAGTAGGGCCATCTGGGCAGAGAAAACAGCAAAGTCAAAGCCTAAGCTAAGAACGGGATCCTGGTCTGTCTATAACAATAACAAAGCACGGCTAGAGCAAAGAGAGCAATTGGTACAGTAGCATAAATCCACAGGCTTAGCTGAGGGCAGCTCATATGCAGCTTTGTGAGTCAGATCAACAGATGAAGTTGCTTCTTAGGAAGGTGAAAACACACTAGAGATGTGTGAACAAACTCTACTCGTGCTCTCAAGCAATGACTGGCCACTCTCTGGAAAAGGAGCCACACACCCGAATGCAGAAGCCAAGAGACGCAGAAGCCAATGAGATCCCTCACTGCAGCAGATGAGGTCAGAGGCTACTACGACAGATGGTTAAGACTCTTGGTCACACAGGACCAGGACAGTGGTAAGGGGACCCAGGAAAGGTCACTAAGATTCCATTTTGAAGACAGTAGTCATTCCAGTTACTGTTTGGTTAAGTCTGTGTATGAAAGGTCATAGGTCAGGTTACCATTCTAGTTTTGATCTGAGAGTCTCCAGGAATGAAATTTTCATGCACTGGTTTAAAGAAGGCTACAGAAGTGGGTGAATGAGAGGTTCAAAATCTCATACATCCCATAATATATCACTGAG